CCCCGCCACAACCCCCCCAAAGAGTTATGTCATAACAAACCTGCCCAGCTCTCACCTAGCTGAGCAGATACGACACTTCATTACTAGAGACCCTCCTCATGGAATTGCCCCCTCGTCAGACACACACACTTCTCTTCCCAGGCAATTTTTTAAGCAGCTATAAAGCCAAAGGGAAAGCAACAAAACCTTGCACCATCCTCTATTTTCAAAAAGAGGAGGGGGAAAGAACTGCAGCCTGGTTGAAAGGCAGCATCTAAACCCGGAGGAGTCTCCCAGGGCACAGACCTCCGGTGCACGTATTTGTGGCTCGCATTTGGGCATGACACCCCGACCCTGCGCACGCTGCCGTTGAGTCCCCATTTTGCAGCCAGGAGGGAAGCAGCCCTCCTCGAAGCCAATCACTCAGACACTTAGATCACTGATAGGACTTTACTGACTGCTCTTTGAGGTTAATATTGCCAAGTACCACCTCATGGTGCTGCCAAATGGCAGCCCCTGGTAATGTTTTGATTAGACACCTCTGTCTAGTATTAGTTTCTTTTTTTGATGTGTGCTGAAAGGACTGGAAGACTGAGCAGGTACCTTAGCTTAGTACTCCCACGTATTTCAAGATTATTAAAAATGTGACCAGTTTGGTGCTGCTGATGGCTTCTAGAGAAGATCTCTCCTGCGTCACATGGTCCCATTTGAAATGGTCTCATGGTGAAACCTAAACCCTCTTCAGGGACTGGCAGAAATGATACAGTGCTCCCAGAAGCAGAATTGGCTAAGCAGATTTCCATCCAAACCAAAAACAAAATGCCAATGTTTTGTAAGAAATTGAGCATATGATTTTTAGATAGATACCTTTCAATGCAACTATTTTTTTGTGCCTATAACAGCTTTGCAACAAATATGTCCCATGTCAACCATTAACCACCAGCAGCCTTCATTCACTTCTTGCCCAGAGGCATCTCTATCTGGGTGCAGCTTTTCTACCTTTCAAACCCAGCTGGGAAAGGTGCTGATCTGTTTGGAGCTGTGAATGCCAGCACATCTTGCTGCCTCCCGTTCTGTAGAGGAAGAGGACTGGGGTACAGCCAGCTCACCCAGCACCTCAGCTCCGTGTGCCAACAAATGCTGGCCATAAATCTGGACACCAACAGACAAAAGACATTAAAGAAGCAACAGGAAACTAAGAGGAGGAATAAAAAGCAGTGAAACCCACTCTCTACTGAACACCAAGGCTTTCTGCGGGCAAATGGGAGCTGGGACTGGTTTTCAGTTGATGTGGAGAACTGAGGGTGAAGCATGAAGTCTGCAGAACTCAGTAAAGTCTTTGAGAAGCCATAAAGCAGCCGAAAGTCCTCTTAGCTAGCAACAAACAAAATACTCTTTAAAATTCAGAAAGCCAGACTCAAATTTTAGGGAATCGCATTGGTCAGACAAGAGGTAAAGAGAAATTTTACTGTTTTCTAGGAATGCATGAATATCCTCTTATTCAGTGACACCAACAGAGACGGACAGAAGAGTCAAGCTGAGAAGTGCCACTTGCTGTAAACAAGGAAAGGAAACAAGAAATAAAGCAAATACTCGCAGCACAACTTTGTCCCTTTTGTAGAAATTGGATCTGCAGATTAAAAGATTTATGCCAATGCATAGGAACACCTGTCTGGAGGACTCTTGCAAAACAAAGCTCTATGAAAACAGGAAAAGATTTTGTGCCACAATATTTTGTAAATAAATACAAATGTATAAATAATTTCACATTATTTCAATGTGTCATGCTTAAAAATTCTTCTGTACCTCATGCTGCTGAGTAGCCTTTTAACACTGCACAAATAACAGCAAATATATTTATAACGTACATAAATGTAGATTGAAATTTGAAACTACTGTCAATTTTGAAAGATCCATCATTTGTCAGAGATTAAAAACTTTACAATAATTTCAGACAAGTTGTTTTAATTTCATTTTGTTGTGGACAATGACATCAACTGTCTCTATAGTGGCAAAAAGAATGGAAAAACTAGAAAATAGCCAAAACTTAGGTGAAGAATCTGAAAAAAAAGGCAAGTAACATCAAAAACCCAACTGATCAGCAAGACAAGGTATAAGTTGAGTCAGAATTTTTCAAAAGTTGACTTTCCTATTTCCTTGTCTGCAGGTGCAGGCACCTGCTAAGTCTGGCCTGGCAACACCATTTTCCCGTTCCCCTTCTCTCACTCGAATGTCTAAGGACCTGTTCTGCACAGAGCAGATGCAGAAGTGCAGAGAAAGTCAAGAAGAGAAGCACCTCTCCCGCCTGTGCTTTTCTTGCGGA